TTTGATCCAGAAGATGAAGCCCGACAGCTCACCAGAAAAACTGTCGGCGATGTGGGTAATGCCAGTGAGACGCATGGTCTTGCAAAACATAGAAACTTTGGAAGACCTGTCCAATAGGCTGATGCAGCCTCTATTTGCCATTGACCCCAAGGGATTTAAGGTCTTCCTTAAAACTCTCCCAGTCGAAAGCCTTCTGAAAGGTGATATGACCGATGCGCCTGAGGAAGAGTATATGGTTCTTTTTGCTGCTCTGCAGATTGGCAAGAAAATCAACTTGGTTCATGAAGATTGTGAGTAGCGTTGTCAATCTGGACTTATTGGCAATTCTCTAATATGCGCAGATATTTTTAATGTCGGCAAAATGAAACTTGACGAAAATGAGGCATTGATCATGAAGAGCGACGTGATCGGCAACTTTCTCCTGCACCGCGAGGCCAATATCCGTATAGCAGCTCTCTCGTTGTTGATCACGGCATTTTCAACAGTAAAGCCCTTTACGGTCCGGGCAACCAAGGCTATCCTTCGAGGACTACCCTCAATGCATGCTGAATCTGACGCATATACTCGAGGCGAAATTTTGAGTCTGACACGCAAGTTCTTTGTTCGTCTAAGGGGTGGCATTGTCAAAGATGAAGACGTTGCCTTAAAGATTGAGAAATCAGCCAACAAGCCAGCTCAAGGCCAGGTCAGAAATGAAACTGAAACCACAGAGTTCCTGAGGGCGTACCTTAAGTTATTGGGCAATGATTTGCGTCTGGCAGCCTCATATCCGCGCCACATCACTGCCCTCAAAGCTTTGAAACTCCTGTTGGACTCCGGTCTTGATCCACGGATAGAGGTCAAACTCCAAAAATCAGAGATTGAAAATATTTGGAAGGTCAACGTCGAAGTGTTTGACGCTCAACTACTCCGGTTGTTGATCGATCTCCTGCTTGATCCATTTGAGGAGGTTCGACAAACATCACTTTCGATCTTGAGTTTGTGTCCTCGAGAGATTCTGCTCAACGGCTTGCAAAATGAGACAGATCAGCAGTCGGCTATCGGCATGCGGTTGACCGATGCAATTACTCGAGCGGAAAGCCTGGCAAGTAACACGAGCAGAGCTGATCACGCGGATACTGTTGCCCGTCTATACCACATCATCTTTTGCGCAGCCCTGCCAGCCAACTCTGGTCAACCAATCTCTGGTTGGTGGACAACGAAGGCATCGGTGGTCGACACAATTTTGAAAAAGCTTGAGGAGCGTCTCCTAAATTCAAAGACTCTTTTCAACTCTACTATGCGGGAGGCCCCTCTTCATGGATATACATCTGGTCTTAGGTATGTTGTGTTGGTCCGTACAAGAGGTAATACGCTAATTGAAATTTCAGGTATATTGTTCTTATGCCAAGCTTCCACTCCCTGATATCTGACGGGGCGGGATCCGCTGCTTGGCGATCTGTCCATGACCGCATTGTTGCAATTTGCGATAAGATCTGGATCAAGTCGAAGCCTTTGCTATGTATCGACTCACCTGAAGGTCACTCGGACGAGCCCACCGAGGATTTGAATGTGGGACCCAAGGACGCCCTTTCTTATTCCTGGAGGTCTCTTCGTGAAGCAACGTAAGTTCAACCCATTTCTTAACTATGAATAATCGCTGACTCGGAGTAGCCTTTTACTCCATGCTACTATGTTAAACACTAGTTACGGACCAAGCGGCAACGACGGACTCAATTTGGCGGATTTTTCAAACATTGGAGGCGTGAGCTTCACACAGCTGGCTGAACTCCGCCATAGAGGTGCATTTTCCAATGTCTCACAGACATTTGCGACATGCTGTCAACGATGCAGCTCCTCAAAGGACCCATCAATCCGAGAACTTCCTAGGAGCTGGTACCAGGAAGCTAAGTCAACTATCTTTGGCTCGGCATCTCAACTTACCCGTCGGTCCGCTGGCTTGCCTGCATTGGTGACAGGAATTGTTGGCTCTGATCCTGGAACTTCATTCTTCACCGAGGCCATCAATGAACTTCACGAGATCTCATCCCTTTCCGTGGAGTACGACAAAGAGAGACAGTACTTGGAACTGCCCCAGGTTCATGCAATGAATTGCCTGAAAGATATTTTCACGAACGCGAAGCTTGGTCTTCATACTGAGCCATTCATCATGAAAGCACTGACGCTCTCCGCCGAACGCCTAGGGTCCCCAATCTGGGCCCTTCGCAATTCAGGACTGATGCTTTTCCGCGCGCTTCTCACAAAAATGTGCCGCGTCATTCCTGGTGCTGGGCCTGGCTTTGGAGGAAACTCGGGCTCAGAGCCAGGATCTCGGATAACATTCCCCAAGTACCCTGGTCTGCTTGAACTACTCTCTGGTCTTCTTACAACGACGCAGGGTGAAGCAGCAGAGGGTACTGAAATTATTACCGAGCGGGTTTTCCCTGCACTGGAACTCGTTGGTGACAAAGTCCCTAGCTTGGATGATCCTACCGATGAGATGCTACGCGGATTGGTTCGCGAGCACCTGAGCAGCCCTGTCTGGGGTGTTAGAGAGCATGCAGCCCGTGTATATGCGTCATTGCTCACCCGACAGCAAATCCCGGAAGAATTATGCACTCTCATTACGGTGCCCTCAAAAATCACTGAAAACTATGTTCATGGCGTTGCTTTGTGTGTACGATATGCCCTTCGTCGATACTCCTTCACAACCGATGATTTCTGGATATGTGAGTGCATTGAAAAACACCTAACAATACTCGAGCTAATCAATTGGCAGCGAACCTTGATATACTTTTCACGGCGTTGCGCACTGTATTAGAATTCCTGTTCCGTGTTGGAAAATCACCCACTGTGGCAAGCGAGCTTGTTGAAATTCTCAATGGCACGATGGAGCGGGCGATCCAAGCAAAGAGCGAAAGTAAGTGCGCATTCATCTGGGCACAGAAAGCATATTTGCTAACCGATCTATAGGCCAAGTTATTTTTTTCATCAACGAGATGTTCAAGGCCCACGACCTCGATGGTATTTTGAGATTTGTCTTTGACGCCTCTCAGGCGGGATGGAACCTCTCAAGCAGTAGCCGAGCATCTTCCCTTCTTAGAAGAGCGCTTGCCTGGTGCACAACATTAAAACTGCTTATTTCCCAGCAGTGGGAACAGCTCCCCGCATTCTTCAGTGGAGTATCGCAATTCGATGCAGATGTCGCTCGTTGGATTTTGGAGCAGCTACACGAGTCAGTTGGCGAAGACGAGAGGTACAGACAGCCACTGGCCGACTTGTATTCATCTGTGATTTTGGGAGATAGTCGACCTGATGTGAAAACAATGGCCGCATCCAATTTGGCTTCCATTATGGAGAACTTATTATCGTCAGAGTTTGATTCTGTGTCCAGCATCGGTCTTCCATGGGATGCTATTGCGAATAGCTTCCGCCCCCAAACAGACATCACAACCTGGAACCGAGAGGCAACGGACGCTGAGCTCCGACTTCGAGGCTGTCTATTAGCCATCCGGCGATCTGTTAATCAGTCACCTTCATCCTCGTTTGAAGAGGATGTCCACAGCTGGACCATCAAGCTTCGCTCTGCCTTGAGTGAGGAAACAGTGAGTTTTATTGAGGCATTTGTCTTACAATCAAGTCATCGATCTAATCTTTTTTCGTTTCCTAGGAATTCACAACCCGTTTTGCTGCAGCCGTATCTGTTGACAGCTTTTCACGGGCTCTTAGATCCCCTGGTTCCCAGCCACGCGTGGATGCAATGCTACTAGATGTCTATCTAGTCTTGTATGATATGCTCAATGACGACGATGATGAAATCCGTGATGTGGCTGCATCAGCTGCCTCTTGGGTTTTGTCACGCTCATCCGTTTCACCTGATGCGGATGTGGCTCTGGCGCCTCTCAACGCCAGCGCCCTGCTTGCCGACTTCATTATCGATAACTATTCAGACTCCGCGCTCCTCGGGCAACGAGTTCTCCGATATTTGACTGGTCAAGAGCCCAGGATCAGTGGATCTGACGAACGTAGTCACTTGGTCGCTGTGTCAGACCAGATCGCAGAGCATCGCCAAGAGAGTACCGTCCTTTTCGTGGAAGAGAAACAGAACCTGTTTATCGATGATGTGCGTGAAGTTGAGGTTTGGTCGCGAGCTCTGTTGCGGTTGACTCCCTCGGCATACACTAAGCTCTCGTTGGATGAAACTTCTACCTGGGCCTTTGACGGGCTAACATATCTCTGTTCTCTGCTTGGCTCTGAGAAGGAGCCAGATGGACTTCTTGGTTGGGTCTCAAAGCCTGAGATCTTCACCCTAGGTCTCCGTGTTATCGTCATCTCGTCTGGTCTAGGCTCGCAACTCTTCCCGGCAGCAGAGAGTCTGCGGGTGCAGCCAAATGACTTCCGGGGAACACTTGAATCTCTCTTAGGCGCAGGCAAATCGTCATCAGTTCATGGGGATTGGTTGTCGAGAATCCAGGCTGCATTGGAAATGTGAGCTGTAATCAAAATCAAGTTATATATAGAAGAGTCTCATTCACAGGTTAAGCATTTTTTTCATTTTCTTCTGCTATCTACCTATAAATCTCGAGAGGGGGGACAACATGTCTCAAACCAAGGACATCTGAAAAGACATCTAGAAAGAATACCAAAAGACCACCAAACAGATATGACAAGAGTATACTTTTGTGGATTGAAAGTGAAAAGAAGATAACTACATAAATACATATATCCAAGTACATAAGTATACATATCTCGTCTGCTCCTTCCTTTTCTCACTTCGCCTGCACCTCTTTCCTCTTTCGTCTCTCTCATCACCTTCCTTGATATCTCCTATTTAAGACCTTGAATCACTCCTCACCTTTATTCTCTTCTTTCTCTTCGCTCCATCCACTCTCCTCGTTCTCTTGCACTCTACATTATTCTATCATTATTTGACACCACGCAAATCTTCCGCTGCATTTACTCCAGCTGCACGCACTCTAAACCCGTCGTTTTGAGCCACTCTTCCACTACTGCGTTACATCATGAAGGACAATGTCCTAGTCGGAGTTCTTCTGGCGGTAGCGCTGGTAACCCCAGCCTTCGCATGGTTGTTCTACATTTGGCATCGATCACATGTGGCCCGAATGCATCAAGAAGGCCAAATCTTCAACAGAAGAAACCAAGATCGCGCCCAAGCCAACTATGAACCCGCAAATGGAGCCCAAGGCCCTATATTTGGACCATACTTTACCCCTAGTGGGTGGGTTCGCCCAAAGACCAGAGGATTATCCCATGACCTGCGTCCGCCACAGTATGTTCACCCCCGGCAGCCCACGTTTACCGGCAACCCAAATTCTGACCAACATTTCCAAGGACCCAACCGAGTGAGCACCCATAGTCCTCCTCACACGGCGAACCAGCAGCCGAATCCGTTATCCAAACGGCAGCAAAGGAAGCAACGGGCGCTGCAAAACAAACAAAAGCAGCAACGGGGAAGAGAGCAGCAGAAAAGTCAGAATGAGCAACGGGGCAAGCAGAACCAAAACCAGCACAAGCAGAAAAACAAGAAACAAGGCCAGAATCACCAGAAATCACCCAATGCCCACTCTCCCAAAGTCCAGGAGCACGAGGACGAGCAGTACAATCTGTGGAAAAACACAGAAGGACAAAATGACCAAACTAGCAACCATGGTGGAAGTGGCTGGGGAAATGAGGAAACCCCACAGGATAATCAAGACAATACTGGCCGGAACAACAACAACAGCGACTGGGGCAACAATTTCAACAATGACCAAGGAGAGCAGAGAAATAGTGCATCGGGTTCCCCACGGCGAGGCTCCCAAGAAAACCACAATAGCCCACGGGAAAGGAGCTCTCGATGGGACAACAGCCGCCCTGCATTTCCAGATCGAGCGTCAGGAAACGACGTGGAGTTCCTTCGTGGTGGTTGGGGTCAGAGTGACAATGGTGCACAACGAAACAGTCATTCACGAAACAACCATTCTAACGAAGACAACAATCGCTACGATGGATGGGGAGACGATACTACGAAAAGTTACCACAAGAAAGACAAACGTAACCACCATGTGTCTCCAGAGCGAAAGTCAAGAGGTCGATCAAGTCCGAACCGCGACTGGGGGCAAAATAACCACAGGGAACGGGCCAACAGCCGCAACAGGTCCAGATCTAACTCTTGGGGACATGCAGAAGAACGCCGTGGCCGTGGCAGTCCAACCTGGAGTCAAGATAGAAATGTGCACCGGGACAAAAAGAAGAAGAAGAAGAAGAAGGAGCGCTGGCAGATTGAATTAGAGGAGAATGAGAAGATGCGTCGTAGTCGAAGCCGTTCGCGCGAACGCTCGGATGCAGGATGGGATAATCGCAGTCAGGGTTCCGGCTGGAAAGAGACACAAAAATGGTGAAGTGGAATTGTTTTGGATTGAGGATGGGGGAGTTTTGCAGGTATTATGGACTTGCGTTCATCCACACATGATACATGTGCAGTTGATGATTATTTTATGGCCTGTATTTTACCCCAAACAATCTATATCTTAAAAGATTTAAAGATTTCTATGCATTTTGATTCTTCGTGCACATAAAATAGAAATAAAACCATGGCTAGACCAATTCAATCGAATTAAAGGTGTCTCAAGTCAACAAAGAGAACCGCTTAGGGCTATCGGTCGAAGACCAAAGAAAGAACCCCGTCTGTATATTTCCGGTGTCGTCCACTCGCTCTTCATCGGACTTGCTGGTCTATATATCTTACCTCTTCAATGGAATTCAACACAGACCTCAACTTTGACTTACACGATTTCAAAAATGATCCTCTTCTTTTAACAGAGGAAGGCATCGACAGGTATTGTCCTGGTGGGTTTCACCCAGTCAGTATCGGGGATAAATTCCACGATGGCTGGTACACAGTGCAGCATAAGTTGGGCTTTGGTGAATCTGCGACAGTATGGCTTGCAACAGATAACAAGTATGGTGCTCCTTCTCCTCAGAAATACTACACAGCAACTAACATCCTCATTCCAAGCAATCTGGGGCTTATGGCTCGATGGGTCGCTTTGAAGATATTAGCCGCGCACTTCAAGGAGCCGAAGGAAATTCGAAACCTTCAATATTTGAGTTATAAATTGGAAAATGATCCGAGGAGATACGGGATTATTCATTTACTCAACAACTTTCTCATCGAAGGTCCGAATGGGACACATCATTGCTTAGTGCTTGGAGGTATTGGTCCCTTCTTCGAATTTAGTGAACACTCTTATATCAACTTCAATGGCTGCGGCCATTTTCTCGAAATTGGAAATACTGGGTTCGGTAACCCCGATTATCTCAGAATGGAAGATTATTCCATGAAAGCAATGGGAGTCAAAGCTGGAGGAGTTGCGATTGATTTCCGAACAAAATTCTGCACTGGAGAAGGACCCGACGACAGCCACAGATATAGCTCAAACAGAAGCTCCAGACCCAGCAGATATTATAGCATCAGCTAAAGATGGCTCAGAGGCGGAAAAATCCCCAACAAAAGACAGCACATCAAGCAAAGGTCGGCATATTAGTCTTACTATACAGTGAAGTACACTTCTAACATTGCCCGTAGTACCACGACTGAAGGATATGGCAGTCAATGATGACAGGCTGTCTCACTTTCTAAAGCTACTTGACGGGCTGCTTCAATTTCGACCATCCGATCGCTTGACACTCCATACAGTGCCAGCGGAGTTAAGGCCGATGCTATCTAGGTGGTTATTTGACTTTCCCCTCGTCCTTGATGCAGCAGAGAGCGAACAAGAGCTCGACGAGCAAACACATCGTGCGATACATGAGATTCAGGAGGTCCCTGAACAACCACAACACAAGGCCCCGGAAGGCGTTTTAGAGTTGCCAGAAAATAATTAACAGCAGCTATCGGCACAAGACGAGATAATAAATTCACCCGACCGACATAACGATCAACCACAAGATCTATCGGACCTATCTCAGAGTCCTCCCCAGGCACAACCAGAGACCCCGCCAGGGAGATCCGAGCCGCTTGTCAGTCATGAACCGCAGCAGCCACAGGTGTCGGAAGTTTCTCAAAGTACCGAGAAATCCCAGTCAGAGGCGCAAACAGGGGCATTGAGCCTGTATCATCGTAACGAGTATCAGCTAGCATCGGTTATAATCCCAACGAATCTTGAACAAGATCGGCCGGATGTATTGGACGGGGCACCAGATGTACCCGAGAATCAGAGAGAACAGCAGCCTGAACTGTCATATATTCCCGAGAGTTCCAAGCAGTCAGAGATAAAGGCGACCGAGGATGCAGCGACATCCTCGGAAAGCAGTCAGCAAAAAGAGCCTAGGAGTCTGAAAAGATTCCGTTCACGTCTAGGAGGGTTGTTGAATCATGGATGGAGGCCATGGAAGAGGCGCCGGAGCTCTTAGGGGGTCTTGCGTGGCAAGATAAGAAACACTTTATGGTGAGATGGAAATAGGATGATGAGTATGGGCTGGAGTATATGAGTTTTATTTTTCTATATGTCCTTTGGTCTTAGATTGGAATGGCGCGGGTTTATTTCGAGTTTATGACTGAATCCAGTGATATTATATTCGCTTTCGCAGAATCATATGTATTGGCAAGGTAAATTACAATTCACACACATCAACGAGTAGATATACCAAGAGCAAAGAGTTGTATATCCCAAGACCTGAACGCCACGAAATGCAGACGAGCTTTAAACGGAACGGGCAATGTGTATAAGCAATGGAGTCGCGCGAGGGATTAAAAAATGTCTATCAATGCGAGAGAGATGACGATGCGACTGCTTCAAGTATGTCGACAAGCAAGAACGCAGAAATTTGCAGAATTCGAGACCCATTCTCGAAAGAAAAGGGATGAGATGAACGCGGATGCAAAATGCGGCAAGGTTTGGTCGAGATTATCTATAGTGGGCGGAAAAGCGGAAAGTCGAGGATAGATGGAGATATGCATGAATTGCGGATATGACATCAACTCAGGCCTGAGCGATAGGCCATCCGTCAACATACTTGAGAGGATTAAATCCAAGGAAGGCATCCTGTGGATAAAGGTGTTAGATTAGATCTTCATGACGTTCGTGGGTATGGTGCAAGGGATAACAAAGGAGGATCGACAGGGGTGCATGAACCACGACAATCGTGTTCCACAAGCCTGCCAATAGGTTTAGTGTGAGCTCACCTGGAATGCGATGCCAACGGTCGTGTTCACTGTGATGAGGTCAGTATGGAGTTCGAAAATGGTACTTGGGTTTAGGGGGCAAACGCACAGTAGTGGTAGTAGAGCACATCAGTGTCGCCATCACGGATGACAGCTTGCCCGCCTGGGGCATAGGTCTCTCCGTTCGAGCCGTAGACAAGTTCGCCGCCGCCTTCGACAAGATCTTTACCAGACTTGTCTGCGAATGGCCCACGGGGACTCTGAGAGCGTCCAACGCGGATGGAATATCTGATGTATGTTAGTATGAAACATCAAGTCATTTGATCATCAAGACTTACTCTTGACCAGCGGGCGGCAGGTTATCTTCCTTTAGATTACAGCAGAAACCATGGCTAACCCAGAGATAGTACCACCCATCATTATAGGAGATGAAAGCACCCTCAATGGGATGGGGACCGCTCGGGTCACCGCAGATGTTGTTGGCCAAGCGATTCGGCAAGCCGAGGGATTCCGGCTCCCACGCCAGCTGACGCGCATCGGGTTCGGTGGTACTGGCTGGGGAGAGGAGGTCCTTGCTCAGCGGAATTTGGAAAATTCCATTCCAGTAGCTTCCAAATGTCAAATAAGCATTTCCATCAGGAGTGACCAATGTGCTAGGGTCAATGGCATTTGACTTGGTGTAGGGATAAATGTCCGAACCATTGCCTGTGCCCGTCTCAATAACAGCGCCGTGATCAACCCAATTGCCCGGACCGGGAGAGTTCGAGGTGGCCACGCCAATAGCACTGTCGCGACAACCGGACTTACTAACACTGTAATAGCAATAGTATGTGCCGTCGACGGTGATAACGGTCGGGGCCCATGGTGCGGCACGGTCACCCTTCGGGATCACACTCTTGGTATCCAGCACACTGCCGACACGCTTCCACGGGCCGGCCATACTAGGTGCAGTGTCGATAAAGATGTGTTCGCCGACATGGTAATGATAATATTCATCGCCCACACGGAGAATAGTAGGATCATGTGTATGTTGCTGTGTCTGACGAGGAGGAGGAAAGCGGCTTATAGCCTGATCATTTCCAAGATCTTGTAGTTTCTGACCATTTTGAAAGTTCTGGTCTCTTTTGATGCTCAGACCAAGAGCGACGGAGAAGAAACACAGTAAGGCGAGGAAGGAAAGCATCTTTACCCAGCGTCGAGGGAATTTCCAAAAAGACCGATGTCGAAATTCATCGCGATGGCCAGACGGCGACATCGACCGTGATAAGTGACCGGCCCTGGCGATCATCTTGATGGATCCAGGCACACATCGTTTTCGGTCGACGCACGGCGTGCCACCCTGGTTGGGCGCAGTTGGTGATGATGGACACAGAGGGGTTCAAGGAACTGCGACAAGGTCCACTTGGTTACTCAATAGAGGGCCCACAACCGGACATGCCTGCAGGGTTTTCGGAATGCCTAGAGAACGAGGTGTCTGTAGGAGAGATACAGATAGTTTGGGCTTGGCGTGATGGAAGCGGCAGGATTGGAAGGATTCGTGGCACAAAAGATAGATCACCGTTAAACACAACTACATATCAGCCAATGTTAGGCTGCGAAATAGTCGCACACCGTAACTTTGTGTACATAAATTATTGAACCTCACAATGCAAGGGATATCTGTAGTTTTGGAAATCGATCGGTTGCAGTGTCGATCGTACTTTTCAAGTCACAGGAAATGATGGATCAATACGTTGGGAATGTGCGATTTACATTTCAAACATATCACTTCTACAGGGTTGATGAAAACAGATCATAAGCACATAGAAGGAGCTAGCCATTTTGTTGTCTTTTTTGAGACTTTTCCAACAATGTAATCCTGTAGGGTTGCAGGTACGAAGGGACGTGTAAGACAAAGCCATGTTACTCCAGGGCTACTACTTTGTATACAGAATAGTCTAGATTCAGACAATTGGATATACCAGATTTTCATTTCCAGCGAGTTCCAGAGTAGTGACAAGTTTAAAAAAAAAAAAGAAAGTAAAAGTAGAAGATATCCGCCGAACGCCAGCGCCGAGCTCCGTCAGACCGAAGATGAAGTATGTATGGCATTCTATCGAGCCACGATCTTGTCCACCTCATCTTTGGCTTCGGTCCATGTCTCCAGGTTCTTCCGAGCCCAGTCCAAGTGGCAACGAGCATATGCGACCTAGAAACTCATGTTTAGTATTGGGCTTAAATCATGTAGGGGGCAATCCATACCATGTATCGTCGCAGGTCGGCTTCTTTGTCCTTCTGGAAGCGCTTGAGGTCATTCAGCACACCTGAGCTCGCATCCTTGACGTCCTTTTCGGACACTTCCAAGGCTTGCTCCAACTAGAATTAGGGATTAGTTTAGGAACTATCGACAAATTCTAGTCCATTGTTCACATACCTGAATCAAACTTTCTTTCGTCTTGCCGATCTGGTCCCGACGGGTTCGTTCGGGATCTACATCCGCAAAGCCGTGGATAGCATGACTGATGCGACCGAAGATTTTGTTCGCGACAAAGGTCCCGCTGGATGATTTCCGATGAGCGGGGGAGCCTGGTACTGACGGGTCAGATCTCTTAAGTCCTCCGGTCTGTGACCCAGGCAGAGAGCCCATGGAATCGTCGTGAGTAGATGGGAATCCCGAGTCAGCCGACATAACGGGACCGTTGCCCCCTTCGCTGCTGATAGCGGATGAGGTTGACTGAGAACGAGGCTTCGTCCCTCCAGAATGAGGGCCGGTGCGGTTGAGATACTGCTCGATGCGCTTGGCTTCGAGTTCACTGCGCTCAAGGGAGTCTAGTAGGGTCTTTTTCTTCGACAACTCATCGCGAGTCATTTCCTGTTGTACCCGCTTGAGCACTCTGTATCGTAGAACTCCGCGAACCACACTAGCAAACTGAGCACTCTCCCGCATGGGTTCCGCAAAACTTGCGCTCAAAGCCGATGATAGTTCTTCAGTTTCAATATAAGAAGTATCCGCTGCCTGGCCAATCCGCTCAATGGCGGCAGCCACTGTTGGTGACTGCTCTGAAAGAGAGAATCCATTGTAACGCGCTCCAAGCTCCATCAAGTCGGCCGAGAGCCCAGACAAATGTGAGAGAGTTCGTCGATTAACCTTCTCAATGCTTCCCTGCAAAAGTAGTTCTAGCTCCCGCGTAGACGCTTCAAAATTAATAAAGTAAGGGTCCAAGTCTTGCTCGCTCAGCTTGCGTGACTCAGGAGGGAATCGCCCGAGGATCTCAGGTCCTGGGAACGAGGGTGGCTCTGGCTCAGTCGGCGACGTGGGCGATGCTGCGGTTGCGCCAGCTGTGGAAGCCCCTGCACTGGGCTTGAGCTTTGCGGATGTAGACGGAATCGGGAGCCAGCCATGGGCTGGTGTGGGGTTTGCAGGATCAAGAGGTGGCGCTTTGAGGTTATTCTTTGGGACCGATGCAGCAGGATGAGAGCTCAAAACCTCGCTCTGAACAAACGTTAGCCAATAACCCCGTAATCAGAAACATCCAATTCAAACCCACCCAGCTAACGTTAGGATCAAGGAATCTCCACCACACTCCATCCTCGCGGATCTCCTTCATACGCCTGCAGCGGTTGAGGAACACACTGAGCATGCGCTTTCGGAGATCGATAATGGCCATATCATCTTTGGCCCTGGTGGGTTTGGCTGCGTAATCCGCCATGCTATGCTTCTCGGGGATCGGCGGAACAACCAAGGTGGGATGCAAATTGACAAGGGTCTGTCGCAATGATGCAAACTCGGAATATCGACGGCGCACTTCCAGGTCCTATCAACACTCAGCATTGTACAGTCCTCCGTCGGGCACCATTCTCATACCGCAGTCCGAATTGTATATACAATAAAGCCCCCGCCGCCCTCATGGTTTTTCCCGGCATCCGTGATCAAGATTGGCATCTCGGGGTTTTCATAAAGAAGCTGCTCGATCCGGCTGTCATAGACGCTCTTCCGAGGGTATTGTTCACTGGCGGCACCATACTCGGCCTCATCTTCGGGATCGCTGAGGTCGTCGGTATGCGTGATGTAATCGGGAGGCTCGCTGCTGGAGTCTCGGCTAGATGGTGGGGTTGGATCATGTTCGTAGAGAGCTAGCTACTGTGAGATACTGTTCCAAAGGCAGAAGCGTTAGGGTAGGAACCAAACGGAGATCTTACGGGGAGAGAGTGCGGCTGAATGTAGGGAGTCAGATAGGCCAGACTGATGTTGGTTAAAGGCCCCGTAAGGATTGTTATCTTCGTCGTTCCACATTATGAAGGTATGAAGGCTTGATAAGGCCGACTAATACCGGAAACCGAGTTGGAGAAGCTGTTCCTGGGGATCTGCGGGGGGAAGTCGTGGTGTGGCTGGTGCAGGGCGGTGTTGGCGATTACGTCATGAAGAGGCTTGAGCTTCGATATTCATAGATAGAGTATGGGCAAGATGCTGTAAAGAAAGGACAACTAAGGAAAACTGTGAAACGGGCTGATAGATGATTTTTGTATTAGAATATTTCGAATGGCTGTGATGGTTTCAGCTTGAACCCCAGGTTTCCCATAATCGCAACGTCACCGAACGATAATCTAAGACTGGTCCGGTCAATACGGCTATATATCGAGGTAGCCCTAGTCTAGTACCTTAAGATATTTTTATCATATGGAGCAAACCAAGCTTAATGTATCCACTAAAAGGTTACTTCACATAATATGGACTTGAAAATCAACTTCATTTGAGAGTAATCCGTTAATAAACAGGTGATGTGCCGAAGGTTGCATGTATGACAAGAGGGTCGAAGCAGAGAGTCTCGGATGCAAACGTTTGCAACACCCTAGGACTCATAACCGATTTCCGTATCTCAATCCTTCAGATATGGTTCCACCGTGTCCTGAACAAGAATCAAAGTCCATAAAACTTTCTCGTGGCATGAAATCACCGTCATATCGCATACCTCAATCCTTCCGCACCCTGTGTCTCACTTCCGATCGGCACTCCGAGGGCCTGCAGCATCGCGTGCGTTTTGTCTTACCCGCTCTGCATTACGCATAGCCGAAAAAGCCGGGTCCATTCCACTAAAAGAGCTCTGAGCACGTCGTAGAGTTGGATGGGGCGGCAGAGCTGGAGACTGGGGAGATTGCGGAACAGAGAGCGAGAAAATCCGGCGAATGGGTTCGTCCGAGAAGGAATTAGGAGATCCATCTCTCACACTGTGAGGGCCACTGAGGGGAAAATGCACGGTGTGCGCGATTAAGGCGCAACTCCTGAGGGCTGGGCAGGTTGATGTTGGTTCGGTTCTGGCGGCGCTGACGTAGGTTGAGAGGGAACTCGTTGTTAACGGAGCCACTAGCGGAAGTGAGAGCAACAGATTCAAGCTCGTCTATTCGGAGATGATATTCAACTTGTTGGTCCGAAGTGTCGCTGCTAGGTCCTGGAACAAAGCTGGGAGCAGTGGTGCGGGCGAGACCGGTTCCAGTATGAGCATTTGAAGAGGATGAGTTGCGGCGAGAGGGTCGAGCTGAAAGATGGGTAGAGTGTAGACTGGGGCCAAGATCAAGAACGCTGATCTCACTCTCGCTCAAGACTGCAGGACGGGATCGCATCGAGGATCGCGTCGAGGATCGTGTTGAGTTTGGGACCGTGGGACCGGGTTCTCCATTGGAACTCAAGTCTTCAGTTGAGACGGAGGTCACACGTTGAGGAGCCATATCGCTTTCTGGGCTAGACTTGGATCTCGTAGACTCCAATAACTTGAGACGCAAGGTCTCGAGCCTCAAAAGCTCGAGTTGATCGCCGGTGTTTTGGAAAGCCAAGTGTCTACCAGCGTGCTCGGAGTTGATCTTTTCAATCATCGACCTGGCACCAGATGGGCTGACATTGATAAAATCAGGACACAGGTCAGATACCTGGGGATTGAGTTGTCGTGGGGCATGACTGAAGAGTCCCCGACGTTTCGGAGAAGGCGTGGTGCGTTTCATCTTGAAATGAGTGCGTGGATTTATGGATAATGGGCGAGTCGAGTAGATGATCGTGGTAATTAGAGAGTCAGTTGCGCAGAGGTAGTCATTAGCACGCACCCAGCCCTAATATGGAAGGAACTCTGTAGGTTGGCACTTTCCTCACGTGGCCCTCACAGAACATCATATTCTCTAATATACCTCGATATCTTCATATAAACATCATATACATCATCTGGTTATATTGTGCTTCCGATATGGTGTCATTAAAGAGAGTTCCCCAGCCCAGACTACTAGGTGACATTGGATACAACGTATTTTGATAGGAGAGTTCATATAGAACATTTAGAAACATGGATATTTGACATGATTCAATATAAAATAATCCTCAGGATGCCATAGGTGCTTGTTCATCTTTCATTTGGCTGCACACGCCCTCCTGTACAACGTATTGTATTTCACTCCGTGGGGTGTTATGCTGGAAGATCACAGCAATGGCTGGATAAATTAGTAGGTGTCTGATATCGCCTAATACCTGAAACAATGTTTGTGAAGTGTGCAAGTCGTAACAACCCTGAAACAACAATATGTCTACATGTACAGCTATGGCTCTTGGGGCAGTCTCTAGTGGTAAACTGAACGAATATAGATGGACAAGAATCGGAGAACAAAGAACAAATCCACATAGCTACATAGAATGAGGTTGCCTTGTATGAAAACACATTGCTGGCCGCTGCTATCGACGAAGACTGAGTGTAGAGTCAGAGTCCAGACATGTTTGGTGTGACTTGCTGTGAAGGAGATGAGATCTTTCGGCCTGTTTGTTATAGATACAAGATCTTGGCGAGAAAGCTGGTAGTTAAGTAGCGAAGAAGTGATAGAGTGCAGTCTTACTTTTTGAGTTCGCTGGATCTTTACATTGACTTGAGTTTGGCCTCGCTCTTACATTGCATTGAGAATGTGATTAAAAAGTAAAACAAGAAAACAGAATTTTTATTTTGTATGGGCCACCTTGCCCGTCCCCCCCCTCTATGTAGAAAAACACCCCCCATTCCCCCATCCACCAATTTGGGGGTTTTTTTTTATTTCTTTAAGTCATAATATTCATGGGTCCGAGGACATTGTGACATCCTCGGACCCCACACGCAGCTCCACGACTGGGAGATCATCGGAGGAATCCTCCCCCTCACCCCCAGAAGTGAGGCCAAGCTGAAACTGAGGGTCGATGTCCATGCCATCACTCCATGGACATCGACCCTCAAAGATACCATCTTCTGTGGCAGCGTTACCACCCGTAATCTGTGAGATGTCGTGAGCGGCGTCGAACGACCAAGAGGGTTCCGTGAGCTTGCTGAGGGAGTCGACCTGCGATCCCCCGTTCTCGTGCTCGAAGTCGATTTTCTTACCTTCGCTGCCACCGTCTTCTGAGTCTGAAGTACTCTCCTCGGCAGAAGAGTACAGGTCATTGCCGAGGGAGTCTTGCCCCCGGCTCACTCGGGGTGCCACTCCTGCTCCGGCCAAGGCAGACGACCCCTTGGGGGGTGCGCCGCCAAGGACACGACCGCTGTCCCTCGAAGGTGATTGGGAACCACCGGGACTGTGGGAGGGGGAGGAAGTGCCGGATGCACTCGCCTCGCTGTTCCGGTAGCCCTCAACCAGCTCCCGCAGTTCCTGGTTGCCCAACGCACGATCGGAGCGACGGCGGTAGAACAGGAGGTAGGCACCCGGAGTGATGATCGACCGGATGTCTGTGACAGTCTTCGCAGAGGTATCTGTAACTCATATTAGTAAGATATCTTCCAATTAGTGTATAAAGGAGGGGTATCGAACCGTTGCAATAGACCCAGGCACCAGACACAAAGTCCTTGATGTAGGCAGTGTAGTGGCCACCACCCATTCCACCCATGTGGTTGTCGACAGCAATCAAATCGTACACCGCACTCTTTCCATCCATGGGGCCTTCAACTCGGCTGCTCAAATCCAGTCCCTCAAAGGGGAAGTCGATGAGAGTGCTGATCTTGTGTCCGTTCCTGCCGCGGAATTGGCTAAACCGCTTGAGCTGAACGACCATAATATCCGGGGTTCTCCACAGCTCGAACTTCTTAGTGGCCGAAACGTGGGTCTTGCACTGAGGACAAAACCAGCTGTCTGCCCGAGAAAGAATCTCCTCCTTGCTGAACTCGTCCAGGCATTGGTCCAGAGATACAGTTGATAGCTTAGGCTTTTTCTGGCTTACCACCATGGTGTGATCAAAGACGTTCTTGATGTTCATGAAGGTAGGGCGACCTCTTAGCTCCTCAGGGTCGCGTGGCTTGCCGCTGAAAAGGGAATCAATGGCATCGGAAGTCCAGTCAAGCAGAATGGCATCACCTTGGCGAACGAGCGCTGATGCTGAGTTTTGTGTCGAATCTGATTCATCTGTATCGATGTCATCATCGAGATTGTCATCTGCGGAGCTTTTAGATGAAGCATCAGATCCCTGGCAAACATTAGCGAGCTGAATACGAATGGACAAGACGGAATAAACAAACCTTAGTAGAAGTGAGAGGAGGTGGGATGCGAGAGGAAATGGAGGGGTAGGTTTTGAGTGTGGAAATATTGCGCCCATCAGGAAGAGTGCTAGGTGTGCTCATGACCGTTGCATCGAAGAGTGACAATAAACTGGCAGGAATCTTGCCAGCAAGAGGATGCTGGGGGGACTTGACAGATTCGGAGTCAGAGTCAGAATCCGACTCATCAGTGCCCTCGGCAGGCGTGGGCCCTTGCTCAGCTTGCATGGAAATGTCAACCATGCTGTCTTCGCCGTCAACAGAAGATGTTTTGATTCGAGAATCTGCCGATCGTGCATCATCCTCGTTGGTGACCACGGTGTCAGAGTCGTCAGCTGCATTATCGTCGTGGCTGTTTTCTTCGGCAGCAAAGATGTCTTGTGTAGTCATAGTATTAGCCTGAGTCAGAAGCTTGCGGTAAATCGTCTCAAGGTCCCGAGATTCTTCACTAGAAAGGCGTATGAAGGATGGGATTCCGAAAAGTTCATGAGTGCCCTCTTTGTTCTTCCGCGGGACAAGTTTGCGGTGGAAAACGGGTACAAGGACTGCATCATCATCATCGGTAGCGTCAGGAGAATCAGTAGATGCTGGAAGAGGACCAAGATCGTAAAACACAATGGTGTCTTCTTGGGTAATGCGCAGACTGCCGAAAGTATCGTCATCGTCGCAGAATGTTTGCCAGAAGGAATTGTGCAATGTCTCTGCTGCAAAGATGCGTTCCCCGTCAATTCCCATCTTTTCGCCGACAAAGTCCTTCCAAGTCTTCAAAGTATCGTTTTCATCGAGCCGGACTTTCAGAGACACAGGTGGGCCGTCGAGAGGGTAGAAGATAATTGTTCGGTTGATGAGCGTTGGGCCCGTTGGGATGGGCACAGTGACCATTGTGAAAGGGTCCATGATGATGCTGGTCTTTTCACAATTGTGGCAAATCAGTGTTGACTTGTACATTCCAGCAAACAGATCAGTGATAACGGAGGCGTTGCGGGCCTCATAGAGGTCCCAGCACTTCTTGCCGAAATCCTCAAGAGCCTTGCGATTGTGGATCATCTCATCAGTGGAGTCAGGGATGACAGTGGCTGGCTTGCTACCAATGATGCGACTTAGATCTTCCGACAGTGCATCAAGGAGGAACATCACAAATTCCTGACTATCATGCTGTTCGTAGCCGGCAAAGTCTTCACGTTGCCGACCAGCGGCAGAACGGAACCTATAGGGGTTAACAGACCTTGGCTGAGGGTCCGACTTGTAAAGCTCCTGCAGCAAGTTGGCCCATTGCTTGGCAATAGTGCCGCCGCATCCAAGGACGTTGCCAGGATTCAGCTCTGGTTTGTACATTCCACCTGCAGATTAAGATTAGCTTCGAAAGGTCTCATCCGCAGTATCCAACAGTAAGATCAGTATACTCACTAAGGAAGTAATACGACAACTCCTCAATACTTCGCACACATTGCAACGCTGAGTTCATGTAACAAGTGTTGCCAAGGTTTTGTAATCCAACGATAAGCTGTCGACCCTTCCGACCTCGAGAGATGAGCCCCCTAATTGGATCAGGTGCCGGGGTAGGGGGTGGTCCTGCCGCTGGGTGTGCTCTTCGGTGCGTCTTTAGCGGTAGATACTTTGGCAACAGCATTGTTCTTCGGTTGATCAACAGGGATACCCAGACTCTTGAGGGTTTTGGCAGAGGCTTCAGACACCCATTCTCCGCCTTTGGAGCTGCCGACCTGTTCTTCAAGAACAACACAATTCGTCACGCTGAGACCAGCCATATCCAAGGTCATACGACCGTTGTAATTTGCATTTTGAGTTTGATCCTTGACATTATCAAGCAACACCCGGTGGCTTCCCTCTTGAAGTTCAAGGAAAGCATTCAAATCGAACATGAGCTTGTCGTTGGGGTTCGAGATCAGAGCCAAGGGAGGAGCTGGCGATTGGCTGCGGGAGGCAGCTGGGGTTGCCGAAGCTGATGCAGTGGTGCTACGAGGCAGCTGGAGGATTTTCCAAACTCGAACCTTGGTCGACATGTCAATACCAGTCTGCTCTTTGGCATCCTTCAACCATTTTTGGTAATTCGTCTGGCGACTGGCCAGGATCTTGACAGATGGTTTGATGGTTTGTCTCAAGATGGTTGGGGTGGTCCCCGCGGCGGGATTGGCCAACCTGAAAATGGTGAAAATCGGGGGATAAGTCTCGTATTCGATCTTTTCGGGATCACCGGGTTGACTGGTATTGTGAGCGTAGCGAATGATCACAGGTGACTGGTCGGCGAGGCCGTACCACTTCTGGATCAGGTCCCAGCCATTTTGCGGAATTATGGCGAAATCTAGAGAGTCGTGCAAGCCAGGACGCATGGGGACAAATGTTTCACCGGTTTCGTCTTTGAAGCTGGGCGTGGCCGGGTCGGTGTCAAGCATTATGTTCAAATTATTGACGGGACCAACATCACCTTCCAATGGTCCTTTGTCAGTGTGATCAGCATGGGCTGTAGTGCGTGCAAGCACCTTCTTCAGCCAAGCCATTGAAACAACAAAGCCCTTTTGTCCATCTTTCAACGGCGCTGTCATCAGCGCATTCACCTCAGCCACCTGTTCATCGATCGTGGGAATGTCATCTAATTTGGGCGATGCTGGTCTGGACTCCTCGCTAGAGGAGGATGCTGACCCGGTCTTGTCATTGTTCGAAGTGGTGGGATCCGTGGGTTCATCGTTTGTGCTGTCGCATGTGCGGGGGATGATGTATGTGCGCGCGTTGTTGCAGACAGTGCTCACGCCTCCTTCGGGGTCGGAGTCGGTGATCTCAGATGCCGGGCGCTTCTCACCGGGAGAAGGGGATCGCCCATGGGTTGGAGGTGTACCCTCTTGAGTATCGGAGGGCATATCGGAATGGTCGCTGGAGAGGGAGAGTCCGGCGGTCGCGGTCGCGGGGGTGAGCGAGCGGCCAGGCGGGCTTCCGGACTGAAACTGCAGATGCGCAGGCACGTAGCGAGGCGGAGACAATGACGAACTCTGACCGCGGGAAGAGGAGGAGGACGTGTGGCGAGAGTGTGGAGGTTCGGAGCGGCCGTGACGTCGAGCCCGAAGGCCTGGACTGGTGGGCTCTGGGGAAACTTTTCGTCTCTTTGGTGAAGACGTCGTGGCGATGAGCTGCGCACCTCGTGTCGCAGCTCGGGGCAACCAGGGGAAAATAGAAGACGGGATCAAAGCAGCACCCTTACCTCCGTTTAGTTGGAAGTACAAGGGGATTGGGGTTGTGAACGAATTTGGCAGAAAAGAAGGTAATTTTTTTTTTCCGGAGCGGAAACGAAACCCAGGGCTATCCACAGACGACCAGCGTCTTGTAGATGAAAAGTTTAAAAATGAACAGAAAAAAGGTGAATGTAAGAGTACAAGCAAAAGATATGAAATAAAGATATGAAAGATGTTTAGGAAGAGAAGAAACATTAAAAAGTTGTAGCTTTGAAGGTCTTACTTATACTTGAAGGTACTATACTAACTAGTTATTTAGAGTAAGTAGTAGTTCGCACAATGGGAGAGACTCGTGAATGGGATTAATTGTCAATAACACTATTATACACTTGGAATTGTTTGTGAGAATATTAAATCTGTTCCTATTATGGTGTTATTGCGATCCTATTGTGGTATTATTGACCTGTTAACAATAAAGCACAATACCCTCACTGTCGCGCGTGCACGACTCATCAAAGACCATCCAAACAATCATACATGTAGATTTGATAACACATCCGTTTGTTAGCATGCCCTGCAGAAACTAAATTGAAACTAAAGCCATGTTGCATTATGTCAACTTCACTTAGCTGTTGTTTGCTAGCTATGGTGAGATAGATACAATAAAAGAAAGGAAAAAAAAACAACCTTCAACGTTCCTCCATGTAGAGTTTGTACATGGTGTTATTCTCCGCTCCTGAGAGGAGGTACTCCATATCAGCTCGGTAGGACACCGGGTTAGACTGGGTGCGGCCCCATTCAACGACAGCGTTGAGGTTACCTTGGAATTGCTTGGTGAGGTTAAGACAATGCTCACAGAGCATCAGTCCACACCCACAACATTCTTCATCACAGTCCACCACCTCTGCGTAGGCATTGACTGGCTGAGCCACCTGGCAAGATGCGAATGCGGGCTCTCGACATAGACTGCACCATTCATAAATGGGACTTGGGAAAAAGGGACCAGCCTTTCCAGTATTGGGGTCAATCAGGGCGTCAGTTGCTTGGCGTAGAAGTGCTGAAGCATCAGTTCGTACTTCGCTTTTAGAGGACAAAGACAAAGGTAGTAGATCGAGGGTATTGTGGGAACATTGTATGATTTTGCATCGATCCCATACACAGGAGGCACACATCCGGCTCTGTTCCTTTCCTTCGCCAGTATGACCATCCTGGAGCTCAACGATCGTGCCGTCGTCAAAGACCCAGACCTCTGGGTTACGAGGACCGAGGCCATTGATGCCATACGCAAAGTTGTTGCACCAGTGGCAAGTGGGAGATCCGTCCTGCTCATTTGCGAGAAACACCACGGGATGAGCAAGTTCAGTCCAGATTCGCTGGGTATTCGCCGACTGCGAGGCAATGTTATTTGAGACAGTGGCGTGAGTGGGTGACTCAACGGAATCAGAAATATAAATCGGGGAGCTCGGTCTTTTCGGAGTGTGTGGGGTGTCGTCGTCTGAATCAGGGATTACAATCACCTCGTGTGGTTTCGGTCCCTCAACGACGGAGGGCTGTGTGTTGGTGAATGGAGGGGAGGGAGCTCCCTAGGATTGTGCTTTGTGGGATTGGTCTCTGGAGTCTGGATCTTTGGTTGGATGACCGAGGAATTTGGTTGTTGACTCGGCGTGGGTGCTCTGAGGACCTCGACCTCTTGGGTGCCATGTGGTGAGCTCGAGGTAGCTGGAGGATCGATCTTTGGGGAACTGATTTGCGCACTCGGCTTGGATGCCTCAAGAACGTCGGAGTCGGGGGTTCCTTGGGGTGAGTTCGAGGTAGCTGGAGAATCAATCTTTGGAGAACTGCTCCGCTCGCTTGGTTCGCTTGTGGAAAAGAGTGTAAAAGGTGGGTATCTGGCTGGTCCAGCAACGCATTCGAACCCATGGTTTAGGCATTGGAGACAAGGTTGGGAATGGTCATAATCAGCGTAGCGATATGAACAAGACTCTTTCCTCCGACCTTTACAACTCTCGCATGATCGCTTCCATTTGGGGGGTGGGCTCACAATGCAAAAGACACCATCGACTTCACATGTTACGCAAGGATAGGCGAACGGATCGGGATCATATGCAAGCGAGCATTCCAAGCCTAGTTCTTTGCAGGCATCGCAGCCTCTCAAGGGAAGTTCGTTACCAGCAGGCAGGAAGTCCCCAGTCGGCTTTGATGCCTCGGCCTCGGCCTTGGTCGTATCATTCTTTTGTGATGGTTCTGACAACGATTCCTTCTTGCGGCGTCGAAGGCTGTATCGTGAATTTGGTGTTTCTGTCTCGGGCTTGACGGCCCAATATCTGTCCCAGCTATCGGGCTCACTATGATGGGATGGTGTCGAAGGAAAGAAATAGTCTTCATCGTCCGTGTCTGGGCTCAGTCTGGAACGGAACATAGAAACCGGAGACTCACTTCTGGCCCTTTTGTCAGATCGAGGCTCTTGATCTCCCGCATAGAAAAGAGATAGCTTGCGCTTGTTCAGCATTTGCTTGTTTGAAAATGCGAAGCTGTCATCTTCGTCGCTGTCTTGCCAGGCCGCAGTTGGGTCGGCACGCGTAGCGGCACGTTCTCTCATGTGATATGGACCATCGAGATGCGGAAGTATGTAGAAGTTGCTCGTAGTTTGTTGAAAGGCCTGGTGAACCTGCACCAGTCTCTCGGGAGAATATGCCATAGTGAATGGCCGAATTTCCGCGGCTGCAAGCTGCGAAGAAGCTGTGAAGTAGCTGCGGTCATTTTCGTTTAACAGGTGTCGAAATCGCAACAGTCTCAAGGGGTTGATACTTACGAACTCTGGCCAGATTAAATCGACGGAGGATTGTGTGGCATTAAAAGCCACGTATTTGTTCTCCGGGTACGAAAACGGAATGTCGCTCCTGTGCTTGGGTTGACTTGCATGTATCAATCTGCGATGCTTGGGGACGCGCGTAGAAGAAGTATGAAGATGGTTTTGAATGCTGGAGTGGTGATGGCACAAGCAATGGCGATATCAAAGCATTGAATGGCTGAAACTGTACCCCAAGAACCAAATCAGAAGTGAAGATAAGATGATACCAATTTGAATGCTAAGCGGTTGTCCATGGATATGGAGATGAATGCAAGGTAAGTCAATTAGGGTTGTAGATGATAGTACCGGGGGCTCAATAGCAGGAACAATGGAATTGCATTCATGTCTCAAAGTGGAACTGCAGCAACAGGAGATAATAGCTTTGGACCATACAATAACAATACGACACTCAATAGCAACGTCCATTCATTCATATGAATACCCCGACCTCAGATTCTGCACAATCTCACCCCAAATCCATCACATCAATTGACCCAAGACAGGGTTCAATGTGGCACTCGAATTCAAATCTTTCTTGTCGCGCCCATAGAGGGAGCGAGGGAGACGACACCGTTCGTGGACGTAACGACACAGACCTTAGTCAAAAATGTATTTCGTGCAGGATCTGTGAAGACATAAATCGGAATGGTAACACTAGGAGACGGTATGGCAGTAGACCGAGGGATCACGGAAGACTCGCTGGGCAGGGCCATTATCAAGGCACGCCAGTGCAAGGCATTCCCGGCATCAAGCTTTGCCAGTCTTTTCTTTTCGATGCGGTTCTTAGCTGCCAGATACGAGCCGCCGAACCAACCCGTAGCAACTAAAATGACGACTAAGCTGAATATAACTAGAAGCAATCTCAGTCCTGTCGGGAGTCGCTTCCAATGAGCCCAACATCCCCAACAGTGTTTGTAACCGCTTCGAGGCTGTTTAATCACAGCAACTGACTGGGTCTTAGGTGTGGAGGGGAGGTCAAAGCTAGATTTGGAAGAGCTAGATGCCGAGGTGTATTCAGCATCCATATTTAGCTTTTCCGGGTGGTCTAAGGCGATTTACGTGTCAACGAGGTCTTACTCTGCATGGTTAGGTTATGTACTAACCGGCTAAAATGTCATCCATTTGAGTAGACCACACTCGGTCAGATCACATATCGGATGGAGCGTCCGTCATAATAACTATAGTTATCTTAGCTTGGAGGGAGCGAGTGGGTTGAATTTTCTTCTATAATAAGATACAGAGGGTGACAATAGTTGGAAATAGAGTAACAAAGGGTTGTAGGTGAGATATATGCGTGTTTAGGCCAGTGAACATGCTACTGGTCCTCTATAGTACGTAGTCAATATATTGGCTCCAAATTGAGAATAGTAGCACCAGGTCCGGATCTTCTTCAGTCACGGATCATCAAAAATGACCACAAGATTACGTAGGATTATCCATCCTTTTTTTTAGTTTTTTGTTTCCCTGTTAGTAAATTTGATGTCCTAGAAGAATGGTTGGCTGAATATGCGGCCTTGTCGCGTCTTTTTCGTGGTCATTTTAGTCTTCTGTGTAGATATTCTCTCCCTTACCCACTAATTCAGAAGTCCAAAATTTGTATGTGATCAATATTAGCTCGACGAAAGAAGACATAGCGTCTAGAAGCTACCATGAGTTTTGGTTAGCGTGGTGGAAGAAAACATACTATGTCGTAAATCATAAGTAAATATTAAAAAGCCAAAAGTCCGGGGCCGACTATTAATTTGAAACCGGGATAGAAATAGGAGCCAGGATTGCAAGATTATCAGTTGAACCATGGAAGCAACCAACTGTATACTTCCAAGGTTGATGCCGAAGTTGAATTCAGCTCCGTCTCTGTGGGCCGTCCAGTCGGCTTCCACCGTCCAATACAGGAACTAGAAGGCCATCACATCATATGGGAAAATGTTCGATGTTCATTCAAATCCATTGTCCTATGGAAACAGGGGAACATGTTATTAACACGAAAGCAGACATGAACAGAAAAACATGTAGTAGAAACAAAAAGTAGCGCCTATAATGCAGTGAGTGGCCATATGTGAGGCTAAATCACCTTGTTTAAGCCACAGCCACTGTGCTCCAATGCGCCAGGGTATCCATCCATCCACCGGAGATGCAGTAATAAAAATAAACAGAGAAGATGGCAGCGCCGCAATAATGCGCCCCACCCTGTGATAATAGAAAAGATCCAATCAAAAAGGGTACTTTTGATAGACAAAGGAAAAGAAAAGAAATTAGCCACTCTGGGCCCGGAAATCGTACATGCGAACTTGATAGTCATCGCCGCCAGTGATGAAGCGGCTGTCGCTCAGGCCAATGCAGTTGACAGCTGCACTGTGACCTTCATAGGTATCCTGGCCGGTAGGAACGCGAGGATCCCAGATCTTGACCATGCGATCCATTCCACCAGAGGCAATCCGCAGGGTATCAGCAGAAAGAGCCCAAATACCTTCCAAATGTCCGAAGAAGGTACGAAGGCATCTTCCGGTGCTAGTTTCCCACAGTCTGATAGTTGTATCCACACCACTGGTGAGGATGTAGCGCGGGGGTTCGATGCGGCCTTGATCCTGGTCAAAAGAGGAGCCGAATGGTGAGTTCTGGAGAGACAAAGACTTGGCCTCAAGAAGAGGAGAAAGCGTGCTCATGATGTTATCGCCATTTTGAGAAGATGTGCTGACGTGGTCGTTCTCGCAGTCGGCGAGGTGGTTCTCCAGTTCAATTTCTCGGGGCAAAGCAATTACTTGCTGAACGGCGCCGATGTGGTTGTGGAAGACTCGGATGCAAGTCTTGGTGTCCAGGTCCCAAAGGCGCGCGGCACCATCGTCGCAGGCGGTTAAAACTGTGCGCGAAACCGAGTCGATTTTGACGGCGTTAACTCCCTGTGGGTGGGGAAGAACGAAAGTAGACTTGTCCTTGAAATTCCAAATTTTGACAGTGCGATCGACAGACGCAGATGCAAGAAGGGTGGAATCAAAGTGGAGGGCAATGACCGCTTCGGCGTGGCCGTTGTACTTGGAAATACATTCGCCTGTGCGCCAGTTCCAGACTCTGATGCTGCGATCCAGACTGCCAGTGATCAATTTGGTGTCATCGAACTGGAGGCATCGCACTCCAGCAACGTGGCCTTTAAGAGTTCTCAATTCTTCGCCAGTATCTGTGTCCCAAATCTTAACTGTAGCATCGTAGGACCCAGTCATCAGGATATTGTCCTCGAACTGCAGACACATGACACTGTCTCTGTGGCCCTTGAAAACTTTGACCGAGCAGCGCTTGTGCTTCCAATTCATACCGACAACAAATCGATCCCGGTAAACCTCCTTCCACGGACGGTAACGAGTTTTGAAATAACTCTCGTCCTCTTCAGGAGACTGGGGAGGCGATGCGCAATGGCGCTTTGCAAGGGCGGAGGCTTCATCATCAGATTGCAGTTTACGTTTACCACTAACTGCAGGTTCCACCGTCGAGCAAGATTCGACCATTGCGGCTTCAGTGGACCCAACTTTAGGCTTGTTGTTGCCCCAGTTGGTGGCGCGCAATTCAATCTCACGCTTGGCTTCGCGCAGACGCTTGCGATCCAGAAGAGGAAGACCCCAGCCACACTTGTTACACTTTCGGCGGATATGCTGCTCGCACATCCGGTGCCACACCACATCATCATCGGCCAGGGCTCTCCAGCGGTGAGAAACTTGTGCAGCTCGGCACAACGAGGCCGTATCGAGGTAACGGAGAATTTTGAAGGATAGCTCTGGAGGGAGGGCACCGAGGAAATCGATTCGGATGAGTTCGCGAACACTGGCAGAGATGTAGGATAGTTGGGGAAAGCAGGACTGCGCTAGAATTCCCTGGAGCATGAGAGTTCGTTGTTTCGCTGGAGCAGCGGAGAACAACGACCACACATGGGCAATACCCTGCTGGTCACTTTGAGGAAGTAAGTTCAGCTCGGACTGTAGCTGGGTCATCGACTGCTCATCAGCTTGGCGTCTACCACATTTTGAGTCCGGTTGGTGACGATAGCAGTAGCTGGCATTTACAAGGTTTTGCTCTGATCGATTTGAAACTTGCGAGCGGAAAGGCGCATATTGTCGTGGTTGATATTTTTCGAGGAACGGAGCCACATTTTGCCTCGCTAGTTCCTCCAGGGTTTGTGTGGTGCTGTCGGTGTCTCCGTGCTGCAGAGAGCGGTTAGAGTCGGCGTTCGCATTGACCCCAGAATTCGCGATAACCAGGCTTCGCTGTGCGGAGGAGGGTTCTGGTGCATTGGCCATGGTGACTGATCCGGTCTCGCGCGGTGCGAGGGGAAGGGGACGGCCGCTCGGGCGAGTGACGGTCGCGCCTGATGTACCGAGATAAGAATTTGTCGATTTGCAAATATTCCTATTTTCCTGAGTCGAAATTGTTTATAGCAAGAAACACAGAGGAAATATATCAATCAATGTTGTGACGATGAGTGTCCTTGAAAATTTCCCCAAGATCACAAAGAGTCTCGAGAGGGAGGGGAGTGAAGGGCTATCGATTGGGGCGATATGAGTACCCTGAGAGAAGGATTGAGATAACAGTGTTATTGAACTCGACGACTGAAATCAATTTGGACAATAAAGAGGAAAGTATAAAATTTAATAAAAAAAGGAAATGGGATCGACAGAGGCTTTTAAATCAAAGAATTATTCAGGATCTGAGAAAATTGCACAATCTGAATGTGTCTTGGATATCGCCATCGATGAGTCCGGGGAATTGCGTGACAGCGGCAGAGCGGCAAATACGTGATCTGGGCGGTGAGGCTGCACGTGACTATGATCCGCATGGCGCCATCTCCACGCCATCGCACCTCAATCGATCACTTCCTACACATCCGACAGGCTGATTCGCTATTTCTGGGTTTAACTGGGTTTAACTGGACTAAAACGGGGCATCTTATCTTCTGTATGATTTTTGAGACTAGTCCCGCAGCTATCTCACACCGACACTCACCCTTTGTGAGACCCACTGCCCCCAGCTTTGTTGGTTACTACCATAAACCCTACTCCGGTCTATCTAAACCTTCTATGAACCGCTTGCCGTGTCTACAATTTACGTGCTACCCAAGGAATCAGCTCTCGACCGAGAACTACTGGTAAGACGCTATTTTTTATCCCTTTATTTGCAAATCATTTCTGGGCTGGAGCTCGTGCTTCACTTTCGGTCTACCGTGTAAAGCACAGCCCCGGCTCATTATACCGAGCTTCCGGGGTCCTCATTACACCCAACTCCCTGGTATATGGGCTACAAAGTACCAATTTCCCCCTCTGGCCTTGTTTAAGTTTACAAGAATCTGATTTGGTAAATACAGGCATATATACTGAAGTGTCCCTGAGTTTTAGTGAAGTGAAAGTGGTGCAATCAGCCCCCTTTCCTCGTAGCTGTGTCAATTTCAATCTCGCCCCTGAGAGGTTTATCTGTTCCTCAACCCTGGTCCTCAACCCTGGTCATATCTTATTCCGAATGCGCCATTGGCAGGGTTAATTGATTCTCTCACAAGTTCTCACAAATTCTCACAATGGCGTCATTACAGTCATCTTCATCATCCATTCGTCCGCAGGCTGGACTGAACGAAGGGGACCAGCAGTCCCTGCCCCAGGTTGACACACTGATATCGTATCTGCTGGGTGCCAAACGTTCGCTCTCCTCCATTACTCACGTCTGGCGGGCCAATGAAATAGTCACTGCGTCACACTCGGCGCTGGAGAAGAGTGTCGTCTTGTGCTCCCGGACAGGCTTCTTACGCCGAGGCCTTAATGGGCAACTCCGGCTTTTATACGATGTTCGTACCGAGGTCGAACAAATATCATACCGAGGCCGTGACGAGTTTTCAGTGGCACTAAAAAATTTAGATGCTGCTGATGCTCGGCTCAGAAGCACGTTAGATGTGCTCCGCGGAACTATCGTTCACGCCTCATTCAGGCCTGGCGATGAAGAGCGGAAGTCTCTTCATGATTTTGTTGATGAGCGGGGTGTTGAAGAGCTACATGCC